TCACATTTCATGTTTTCCACAAATATGACAGCATACTAAAATATAAATTCAGTTATTTTAATTTAGTTTAATTCGTTAATGTGTTGTAATTGTGTTATGAAAACTGTCTTAACTTTTACCCAAATAGAGCAACCAACATGCTGGTCCAGTGATAGAAACCAAGTAGCAGATTTATTAGCATGTGTCTTAAAGCCACGTCGCCGGCTCCAACCTGTTGGTGGTAAAATGTACAGATGGTTCAGCTTCGGCATCCCAACCTACCGCATTTCATGCCAGTCACCGGGTGGAAACAGCTCCCAGGAAACCTCAAGCTTTTTGTCCAATAGCAGCTCATACACAGTGTACACCTTGAACTAATTATTGACGATTTTTTATTCCCATGCCTCCTCATCCAGCCTGTCACAAAGTTCTCTCCAGTGTCTCTTCTTCTCGACTCGGATCTTTCGGTTCAAGTCCTTCTTTCGCACATTTCGTACCATATCCAGTCGACTAGGTTTGATTACTTTGCCTATTTCTTTTGCTCTCATAGCCTGTCGTCTGACAGCAATGCATTTCTTCTTCTTACTGGCGATCACTTCTCACTATCAATAACAATTTTCGTATTTCATCTAAACTTTTCGTACAGTTACTAATAGTTTCTCTTTTCATTGATTTGAGTCTTTATGCCGATGTCAATTGGCATCTTACCCTCCCTATCAGAAACCTAGAGCACTCATCCAACTCTACCGTTATAAAAGACATTTCCAATACTCACTCCACAATTGACTCAAGCTTTTGTCTAAGTTCAGATTAAAGAGTCATAATCATCACACTTAATACATCCAAGATTTGGACAGGGACCAATAGCATTGTAAATCAAAATATCTAGGTATATCATTAAATCAAAGCTGCCAGTGATATCTAAAATTTAATTGCATATTTCACAATATTAGTGCAAGGCGCTGCATGGAAGTCTACTCCTACAAATACAAAACTGCTTGAATAAATAATTTATTCAAGCAAGTACCAGTTGGAAATTCAGTTGCTATAGATGAGAGCATAGTCCCGTATTATGGACATCATCCTACAAAACAATTTATACGGGGCAAACCCATTCGTTTTGGGTTTAAATTGTGGGTTTTCTTCTTCTTCGGGTTCCTTCTCCTAGCGGAGGTTGGAAATCATCATCGCTATTTTAACTTTGTTGGCCGCATTTCTGAATAATTCTAATGAGCTGCAGCCGAACCACTCTCTCAAATTTCTTAGCCAGGACATTTTGCGTCGTCCTGGGTTTCTCTTCCCTTGTATCTTCCCTTGCATAATCAACCTCAGTAATACGTACTTCTCACCCCTCATTAAATGTCCCAGATATTGAATCTTTCTAATTTTAACAGTTTTTATGACTTCACATTCTTTCTTCATTCTTTGTAACACCTCTATATTAGTTACTTTTTCAATCCACGATATTTTATGCATTCTCCTGTAGCACCACATCTCAAAGGAGTTTAATTTTTTGATTTCAGACTGCTTTATTGTCCACGCTTCCATGCCATATAGTAAAGTAGAGAAGACGTAACAACGTAGCATTCTTGTGCGAATCTCTAGATTAAGGTTACGGTTGCAAAGTAATTTCTTCAATTTTATGAACGTGTTTCTTGCCATTTCTATTCTAGATCTGATCTCCTTTACTTGATCTCCATCTTCGGTTAGCCACGTTCCTAAATATTTATATGTTTTTACTCTTTCTATCGTTGTATTATTGATGATCAGGTTATTTACATTTTGTGGTTTTTTTGAGAATATCATTGATTTCGTTTTCTTGAGATTCATTTGCAGTCCGTAACTTTCACATGCATTGTATACATGTTGTATTATGTACTGTAGATCTTCCATGTCACTTGCAAATATGACAGTATCGTCGGCATATCTAATATTATTAATGCTATTTCCGTTGACATAAATACCTTCCACGATATCCAATAAAGCCTCTTGAAAAATCACTTCACTGTAGACGTTGAATAAGAGTGGTGAAAGGATACACCCTTGTCGAACTCCTCTAAGTATACTTACTTCCTCTTGTGGGTTTTAGCAAACCCCAATGGATTTGTATCTCACGCTGAACCATACTGCGGTGCACATACAAAACTTCCTGACACTGGACTCGGACAAGGAGGAAATGTAGTACTAGGACTTGCTGAATATGCCAACGTTCCTAGCGGAACTAAATTATATTTTGACAATTTATTCTCTTCTGTGTCCTTACTTGAAGATCTGTCTAAACGAGACTTGGCAGGAACTGGAACGTTGCGAGAAAATAGAATATCAAAATGGATGAATTTGCCTCCGAAAAAATATTTCAATAAATGTGAAAGAGAGACGACACATTCCACATCTAATGAAAAGCTAACAGCTATTAGACGGAATGACAATTTCATCTAATAACTGTAGTATTGTCAAATTGCCACACAGAAGTGCCGTTTGAAAATGTTCAGCGGTTTAGTAAACGTAAACAAAAGCAGGTGATAATTAAAATGCCTGATGCCATTTCCCACTATAATTATTATATGGGAGGTGTTGACCTAAATGATCAGTTCACTGTTCAATATAGATGCAAAATTCGCAATAAAAAATTATGGGGGCCACCCTATGCTTGGTCTGTGGATAAATGTTGTGTTCAAGGTTGGCTTTATGTAAGCTGTTAGGTCACGAATTACCGTACTTGCAATTTAGAAGATAAGTAGTATTACAGCTTCTTACAAAATATGGTTGTTCTCCAACTAAACGTGGGTCGCATATATCGTTTTCAACATCCGCTGTTTTAGGAGATCTAAGAACAGACAAGAAAAATCACATTATCGTGAAAGGAGTGTCAAAGTACCGCCGATGCAAAATGTGCCAAAGAAGAGCAACATACTTGTGTAACAAATGTAATGTGCCTCTACATGTGACTTGCTTTGAAACCTTCCATAAATAATTTCCATACTATGTATCTCTGTTGTTTTGTTAAAGCACGATTAGCTTTTAATACATTTTTCTGATATAGAAATTTTTTTCTTAATACCAAACCTTAAGTGCTCAGTGGCAACTAAAGTTGTCACTCATTCTGACAGCCTTTTGACAGACTTTGATTTTTTTACATTTTTTTAGTAAATATATAACACTCTTTGTAACAAAATCTGTAAATGTCAATTTTTTTTAGTTCTGAGCACTAATGAGTTAAAATCGTTCCCAAGACCTACTAACCTGTTGTAATCCAATTATTTTTACTTCAAACCAGGCTCTTTCTAGAATTTTTGCACCACACTTTTCTCTGAACTCACTACAGAAAATTTTATTCTTAGTCGCACCTCCTTTGTCGCCGCTTCCCCTATATTCGTGGAAAACCGGGAAATAGTCCATGATCACTCATCTGCGACAGTTTCCACTGCATTGAACAATTTTCAAATTTACTTTTACAACGGAATTCATGTAGCTGTGGAAAATATCCACAATATTTCATATCTATTGCGTTAAATAGAACAGCCATGAGGATGTGTTTGTCTGTGAATACCCGTATGTATGTTTGATGTAAAAGGGCTGTAATTTTTTTTGTTTTTATATGATAGCTTGACAAATTGTCGGTTATATTTATAATTCATAAAAATTTATTATGGTAATGTATTTTTATGTTGTTCTTTTTGAAATTATTATCAAATGATATTTGGCAAGATGTTTTGTCAACAGGTAATGCAAGCTAAAGCATAGAAATTGAATAAAACGATGGAATACGTTCATTTTACCGAGGAGTAGGAAGGAGGTCCGATAAGTACTTAACCTACAAATGATAAACAATAATTTTCTTTTAACTCGATTCTGTTAACCCAGCAGTGCTCTAACTTCTTTCACCTGTCTAAAAAATACGTTTTCTTGAGGTCTGCAAAGTAGGCAGACCTCTTAAAAGTGATGATCTCTTCATTAGACGAGTGACTTTTTCAAGTTTGTAAACAAATAGAAGTCGCACTGTGCCAATTTCCCTCATAGGACAATTGTACCAATCTGTCTGTGGCGACGGTGGGGGTGTGAGCAGGGACTTTGGGTTCTTTTTAGCACGTTATCCGGGTAAAGTTATCTGTTTCGACTGTTACTTGGTCTGCAGTGTGTACCAGTGGATCCATGTTTCGTCGACGGTTACGAAACGTTGCGCCTAAACGACGTCAAACACTGCTCGGAAGTGGTCTCATATACAGAAAACTAGTTTATTGCTTTAACTATTTATATACAAAAGTAATTATGGTTTTAAAGTCACTATTTGTGTTTAAACTGCAGACGATCTTCCTCAATGCAGCTATGACACTGCTTATTTACACTTTTGTAAGTTTTATCAAAGAATTAATTCTTCCTGAGTTCTTATTTTCAAATGTTCAATATCACGTAATGGATTGGCGAACACTTTGTTTTTTAATTCTCTCCAAAAAGAAAAATCGCATGGTGTTAGGTCGGGTGACCGTGCTGGCCACTCGATTCTTTCTCTTCTTCTTATCGACATGCGTAACTCGGCATTCAAGTATTCGCGAACTACAAGTCCGAAGTGTGATGGATCGTCGTCTTGTTGAAAATAGTGAATACCTGCACACTCTGGGTTATTTACAAAAAATACCCTTTACATTAATAAGCTGTTTAAGTTAATTTTGTGTATTTACACTGACCTCAAAAAAGAATGCCGTTTAGTTTGAACGGTTTGAATGTCTTTATAAAAATAAGGTCAGGTTTTTTTAAAACCTGACCTTATTTTTTTCTAGTTTAAATAAATCAATTGACTAGATAGTAGTAGTAGCATAACCTTTTACCAAAACTGAACTTACAGTTTAAAAATTATGAGTAATAGAAATTTCAGTCCACAACTCGCCTTGCATATTAATTAGCAATGGGAGCAGACCTCTTCTTCTTCAAGTGCCCTCTCCGCTATGGAGTTTGGCAATCATCATTGCTATTCGTATCTTTGAAGCTGTTGCTTTAAATAATTGTTTAGATGTGCACTGGAACCAGTCTCTTAAATTGCGCAGCCAAGATATACGTCATCTCCCCACGCTTCGTTTGCCCTGAATCTTTCCTTGGATAATTAATTGGCGCAATCGATATTTTTCCCTCTCAGCACATGACCAAGATATTCCAACTTTCTTCTCTTGATGGTGATCAACAACTCCCGTTCTTTGTTCATTCTTCGAAGAACGACACTATTTGTTATTTTGTCTGTCCAAGGTATTTTCAAAATTCTTCTATATATCCACATTTCGAAGGCCTCTAGTTTATCGGTATTGCTCTTGTTTAAAATCCAAGTCTCTACTCCATACAGCAGTATCGAAAATATGTAGCATCTAACCAATATCATTTTCAGGTTTAAGTTAATGCCATGACTGCCCAGAATGTCCTTCATATTAACAAAAGCAGCTTCAGCCTTTCCAATTCTAGTTTTTATTTCTTCTGTGATGTCATTGTTGATATTAACATTTGTTCTCAAATATTTATATTTGTGCACCCGTTCGATTTCGGTATTGTGAATGTACAGGTTTGCATTCAATCCTTATTTTTTTGAAATAATCATGAATTTCGGCTTCTTGACATTCATTGTTAACCCTTTCTCTTCACTAGCTGTGACTACCTTGTTTAAAATGGCTTGCAGGTCTTCTACTGTCTCCGCCATTAAAACCGTATCATCTACGTATATAATATTATTAATTGGTTCTAACTCCTTTTTTTATTTGAATTTCATTTGTTGTGCTATTTTCGATGCGTGTGACTGCCTTCTGATTGTAATACAGAGTAGATATGATTCTTATATCGCGAGTGTCTAACTGTTTAACTTTCAAGCTCTCTAAAAGTTGGTCATGCTTGACGTTATTAAAAGCCTTGTTGTAATCAATGAAACAAACAAATACATCTGGATTCACATTCAAACACCTCTGTGTCAACATGTTAAAGGCAAATAATGCTTCGCGAGTTCCATATCCCTCTCGGAATCCAAACTGAGTTTCTCCGATATCTTCTTTCAATTTTCTGTAAAATCTATTGTGAATTATTTTGGGCAATATGTTTAAGGTATGGCTTATCAGACTGATCGTGCGATGGTCACTGCACTGCTTAGCTTGTGCCTTCTTGTGAAGGACAAAGGTTGATCTTAGCCATTCTTCAGGAATTATACTGTTTTCATAAATCTTGTTAAATAAGTCTACTAACAAATGGATTCGATCTTCGTCTATCAACTTATCAAATCAAAAATCAAAAAGTATATCCGCTGGTAACTCATTAATCATTTGTTATTCACCATACTAGGTAGGACTGTTCCTCGTGACTCACCTTGTGTATAAATAATATAGCGTTATATCGGTAATAGTTTGTTTGATGATTCTATTTTGTGTTTTAGAAAGATACGCATCTTCTTTATACCAAATGCACAGGAAAGGACCTCACAAAAAAGAGAGGAAATCTCGTAATCCCTTTGATGGGAATCCCTTTATGAAAGGCGTAGTTTTAAAAACTTTGATAAGAAAGCCAAAGAAACCAAATTCCGCCAACAGAAAATGTGTACTGGTTAGGTTATCAAATGGTAAAGAAATGATAGCTTATATACCAGGAATTGGACACAATTTACAGGTAAATTGAAGAAAGTTTGCTATAATTTAAATATAAATAATGATCTTTTGTCTATGTTCGTTTGTAATTTAGTTTTTTTATATACCAGAAGTAACTGCTTAGTTTTCGTGCATATATTTTCTAAATGTTGCATTTAAAGCTCTTCTAGTCTTTATCTTTAGATATATTTTAACAATCTATAAGGACCAGACGTGTAACATGACGTGTAATAATCAAAATGGAAAAATGTACACTCAGTAATTGATAAAAAACACAAAACCAATTCTAAAATTAGGCTTTTACTTAATGTTGGCTTTATATGCATGTTGACATGAAAGGTGCCTTAAACTTACTAACTATGTGAAGTTCGAAGGACTTTCGATAAATTTCAGTAAAAACGCCACTTGTTTCATTCTAAATAGGAGCAAATTAACAAATTTAGTTTCAGACCACCAGTGAAACAATAATATCATTCTCAGAAGACGTTAACCATTTCTCTGAGATATCGTGGATATGAAACTTACTCATGGACTATTCACCTCACAAATATCGCCAATAAAGCAACCACGGCTCTTGTTTAAACTCGTATATATATATATATATATATATATATATATATATATATATATATATATATATATATATATATATATATATATACTATATTTAACATTTAACAGTTTTGTAATTTGGTAACTTTTTTCGTCTTCTTTTAGGAACACAACATAGTACTTTGCAGAGTAGGAAGACTACAGGATTGTCCCGGTGTGAAAATCAAATGTGTCCGAGGAAAATATGATTTATCTCACGTCGTTATTAATAGAAAATAAGTTTTGTTGAAGCCAATAGTGTAAATATATTTTAATGTGTTACATTTGTTTATTACTTCTAATAATTAACACCTTTTTAGCAGGACATTGTCCTGAGAACTGATAGTTCCTTTTTGTTTGAGTACCGGAAGAGGTACACAGTAATTGAGGGTTAACAATGTTTATTGCTTTAGAGACTGTTATCGAGTACAATAGTCTGTGGACTAGTACACACTCCGATGCGCATCGCCCTCCCCCCCCCCCCAATCCCATAATATAAAAATAAGCGATTTTCAGGTCACCCATTGTCGAAACACTCGGAGCTTTGCAGTATATACAAACATCTATCGAAACCGAAGACAAGTTTTCCGCGGGAACGGAATTCTTATCAAACATGGATTACCACACACACCGCACAAGTTCCCACCAAACATACCTTCTCCCAACGTGGACTTTGTGTCAATAGATCTGCATCTCCCCGATAAACAAACACTCACGGTAATCTCTTACTACAGGCATCCAGCGATCCCGCTTTCTCTAGAACTTTTAGAGTATTTCTCTACTCTAAATAAAGCAATTCTTATGCGTGACCTGAACTGTAGACATACCCAATTCGGAGTTCACTCTAGCACTCCTAAAGGCGCCCGTCTAACGGATATACTTCTAGACCTTCCAATCATCAGAATCTCAAACACTGATTACACGTTTTTAAATGCAAATAGGGCATCCATCCCGGACATCATTGTTACTGGTAGAATGATGCACAGCTTTAATGATTGGTGCCACATAGGAGATACAATAACGTCCAACCATCTCCCAATCCTAGTCAACACAGACATTATGTCACCTAAAACTCCAGGTCCCCCAAGATAAATAAGAGATTATCGTAGCGCAAATTGTCCACTATTTAAATCATTTATCACTAATAACATTCCTGAGTTAGGTACAAACGACAGTATCGACCAGAATGCGATCCAAATTGAAAACCTCATCGTCGAGACAATCAATCACTCTATTCCAATGAAAACAATACAACCTTTGCCAAACCAGAATACAACATTGCCAAAATTCAACAATAAAGACGGCTTCTACGTCTTTACAGATCTCTGCTAGAATCAAGAGGGAAATATCTGCCCTACAGGTTCACCAGTGGGAAGATGCTACCTTTAAGCTAGACTACAGACATGGGGTTAAGTTCTAGAACAAACTCAAAGTTCTAACTAAACAAAAATATTCTCAACCATCACATCTCTTGATCTACAATCAAACAATTAGCTCCCAGAAGCTACAAGCTGAAGCATTTAAAAATTCACTTCACAATAATTTTTAATCCTCAGACAACCCATACTTTGATTGCTTATTCAAATTCAACACCGAATTCATAGTAAGAACTACTCTCACGCACCAAATTCCAGAACATGGCCCAATCATGAACCCTATTACTGACAGAAACGAAGGGCTATTGCCGAACAGGCAAAAATAAGTCTCCCGGACCTGAAAATATCAGTATTTTTTTATCTATATGCTATAGTTAATATAGAAAACTTTGATTTGTGGACATGTGCTGTTTTGAAAAAGAATTTGCACTAATCCATATTATGAACTCATGGACATGAGTAGTTTTGGTCGAAATATACAATCAGATGACTCGATTGGGACATGTGCTGTTTTGCTCGTATATGTATATCTTCATATGTGTTTATTACGGGACAAGATGTATTTTGCTTGATTCTGACCTTACATTCTTGTACAGTTTAGGAATTTCTATAGAATCCCAATATTATCTCATTTTAACTTAATGATGGACATGTAGCCCAGGGAAATAAGCATTTTTTCATGACACTCGTCCGGCCAGGCAGACGACAGAGATACAGTTAACAGCGCCTTCCCCCTCCCTTCAGCTCCCGAGAGTTTTAAAGCCAACGGATTTTACATACATTTTGAAGCTTTGTGGAGGATTCTATTAAAGGGCAATAATTTTAAAACTTAGTAGTTTGAAACTATAATGTATATTCTTTCAAATAGCGCTAATTAGATTTCTTAATTGTTATAAACAAAGGTGCTATGAATTAAACAAAAAAAGAGGCTAACTTTGTACCAAATTATTATAGGACAAACTTTTTTTTATTTAAATTTGTGAAAAAATTCAAGCTTTTTAAATATGTAAAAATAATATTTTTACAGTCAATGGTTAAAAAGTTATTCTAATTGTTATGTATGTCTAATTCTAATAAAACAAGTCTTCTTCTACCAGAAACAACCCTTACAATTTCTAAAACTGTATAGATTTCTGACTTATATTGTTGCAAAAAATGTTAATTTGGGATAAACAAATAAAATAACTTTTAAACTATTGGCGCGATCACTTTGAAATTAAGCACTACAATACACATCATTCCATGAAATATAAATATTATACGTTTATTTTCAAAAAAGTTATTAACATTTATAAAAAACCGAAATTTTTTTACTTATTTTGCCACTTTCTAAGCAACAAATAAGGATAGAAACATTTTGAAAACGCCGTTTGAAGGTTTTTATATAACTTATAAGTTTTCTCTCTTCTAAAATTTGTTTAAATTGCTTCACTTTTTGCTGATAGACGAAAAAAGCGAAAATTTTCCGTTTTTTGAACTTAATTTGTTAATAACTAATTTAGTCCAAAAAATCGACTGCAGGAAACATATAGGTTTTTATTACAGAGGTCCACACTATTCAAAACAACTGCCGTTTGCCTGGCCGGACGAGTGTCAAAAACAGGGTACTTTTTTTGCTTATTTCCCTGGCCTAATGTGTCGTTTTGAATAGACGCTCCTCATATTTGGGTTTACCAAAACACCTATATATGGGACTAAACAGTTATTTTAAATGTACTAATGCCTTGTATATGCCTTAATAAAAATTACAATGCATAAAAATATTTTTTATTTCATGTTTGCAATAATTCATGCAGTAGAGGGTTAGGTGCCATGTGATACAAGAAAAGAAAAATTTGCATAACGTAATATTGTTTTCTTTTGCTTTTTGCCTTTTTTAAACAGTCAATCTTTTATAAAGATTACATTTGCGATGGTATTATTGTTGAATTGTATGAATCAAAAAACTACTTAATAGTTAATACAATTCTATTCATTTTAATACAAAAATAAAAAAAAATGTTTTTATTTTTCAACTAATTGTAACTATTCAAGGTCTTTCAGTAGTTTAATATTTAAAAGATCAGATTTGTATTTCAACATTAAAAACCCCCACAAACAAAGAGATAGAGACACACTTTCTGTAAACTCAACTGCACCCCGTGGACATATTTCTTCGCACTTTGTGTTGAATAACAAACTCGACACAAACTTTCAGTGAATGGAAACAATTGCTCTTTTTACACCGTGGTGTTAATCCTTTTCATTAAAAGTTTGAAGAATTGCAAAGTCCAACTTTTCTACACCAGTTATTTCGCAAATCGGATTTACGTCAGATTTTTGAGATGGTCTTTTAGATACAAAAAAGGCTTATGTATTACTATTCTTAGATAGAACGGAAGTTGTCGAATTGTGTGTATTCAAAGAGTACATAACAGTTCTGACGTTTGTCTAGATTTGGAGATATCTTTATTGAAGTGACAAGGATTTTAGATTCATACAGAAAATTATAGATTTATCATTGTTTACAGTTTAGGTAACTAGAACCAAGATTTTCAAATCGATTCATTTATAATAATGTTTTTTAATGTAAGTAACAATTTTATTAAAATGTCTAAACAATTTATAAAAACTATTAATAAAAATTACCTTTTGTACAAATTAGATACTATCGAAGAATGACTACTATCAACCTTTGTTTCACTACCAAAAACCAAGAATCTTAAACACTTTAATGGCTATATGTACTTCACTTCGTCTTTTTGGCTTGCATACAAGTGCATCCGCCAGCACATTTCTTGTGTGTTGCAGTTTGTCTTGCTCTTAGCAATACTGCAGCACTTCTCTATAAAAAAAAGAAGATTACATAAATAGTGTTTTCTTAAACCATGAAAATACGATACGATGGCAGTTGTCAGATGACGCAAAGTGACGTAATATTATTCTCCATCTCCATGGACCATGCATGAGGTATGAGGTTATGTAATGAAACGGTAATGAAGGCGGTTTATGCACTCCATTGACTCCATTAATGTTTCTGTTTTTTACCCTTAAGATATAGATGATTCCTTTAAGCTTAATTATATATGCAGTTGAAGGGCAAATATATATATATATATATATATATATATATATATATATATATATATATATATATATATATATATATATGCGTTGAATTAAACCTTGTGATGAAAGATGTTAGTTTAGACAGATAGTACAACATAGGGTTATAACTCTTCTCGCTCCGGGGTAACGGCAGAGCTAACACAACCAGAAATGTTACCTCGGTTAGACTAGAACCCAGGAAAGGATAGGATAGAAAGATTTGGATTAATTGAGTTTGTATTTCATAAATTTAACTTGTTAATATTTAAATGAGTAATAATTAGTTTTAATTGATCAAAAGTTATGTTGATAAGGATTTCTTGTATATTGAAACTATCGGGTACTCCTAATTTTTTTAGTTCTTTCTTTAGGTCAAATTGTGCGCCTTTTCTTATGGGGCAATGTAAAAGAATATGGTCAATGTCCTCCTCTGTACCACATTCACAATATGGATGCTCTATTATTTTTAGTCGGTATAGATGAGAACCTGTAACACAGTGTCCTGTCCTCATCCTTATTATATTGGTCAGATGTCTTCGGTCTATATATGGGAATTTTTTAAACCAAGGTTTGTTTGGAAATGATGGCTGAATTTCAGAATACCATTTCCCTTTAATTTGTGTTTGAGCTTTCCAGCATATATCATGTTCCTTTCTTATTTTGCTTTTCAATATTGGCCAGATATCTGAATAGTTTATTTTTATACTTTCAGGTATGTTGAGTGATCTCCCAATATTTGCCAACTTATCTGCATATTCATTTCCCTCTATTCCTGAATGTCCGGGGATCCAACATAACTTATATTTGTTGTTCCCTGAG